CAGAAACCCATTTCAATTTCAGTATTTCAGTAAGCTGTAGCACAAGGTTTAAGAACACTCTTTTTAGAAGGTGACAGATATAAACAAATAGAAGACTGCCTGAAAAATGTTTATGTTTAAAATATAATGACTACTGCACATATCCTTTTCAACTTTTATGCTCTAGTCAATGTATTATAATAATTGAGCTCTACTGAATTACTTTTCTAGTGGATAAATACTGTACATGCTGTAGTGTGAAGAGACATCATGTAATGTATACTAATTAAGCCATTATATCTGTAGAGAAGATCATATCTGAAATATCAAATTAGCAAGAATTAAACATCTCAAAGGAATAATGAAATGTTATGGAGCCGTTCACTTCCAGGTCAACAGGTTCAATTTCAGCTTAGTTTAATAGTGATAATGAATTTATGTGCTGGAGATAACAATTCTGTGCATCCATTCATAAATCAGGTTAAGAACCCCTGCCTTGTACCAACAACAGCAGACTTTAACCAGAACAACACAGCCAGGAATATTATGCTAGGCCTATATTGGCACGTAGCCTCAGGTTCCATGAGATCAAACAGCACATTCACTGGATGGCTGCAATATGTGTAGGCAGCAATGAGGGACACCAGAGACACTCAGTCAGTTCTCTTTACAGATCTGCCAACAATTGCCAAACCCAGCAATAAAGTTATCACAGGCAAAACATTCGACTCCATCTTTTATTTGGCTTCGCTAAGAGTCCATTCTGCTTATCCTGATGCCTCTCAGCAGCCCTTGCTGCTTCTAGCAGAGGCATCTGCAGCACGAGAAAAAGATGGGGTGGGGGCACGGGAAAGGAAGAATTGTATCCAACTTTTATGCAGCATTATCTTTCAGCTAAAGTGACAGCATGTGGAACCACAAATTATAGGTTGAACTTTTTTTGAGACCGAACAACCACCACATCAACAGATTTAGGCATCAGCTCCTCAGTGATGATGGGGAGTAAAGAAACAATAACCAGTTTACGCATAAGAGAAAGCAGTTAAGAAATGACACATCAAGAACAAATTACTGTCTCTTAGTCAAGTATGCCTAAAGAGGTACATCCAGCCTCTGCAGACACACATCGAAAGCTGACAAACTGTGTAAATGTACAATCACCCAAAGCCTGTCACTTCAATTTGCTACGAGGACTCTTGTTTCAGAAACACAGGTGTTATGCAGTGTGCTGTAGCAAGCTAAGGAATGATTCAGAAAGCCAAAATTAAAGCCCCAGATTCTGCAAAGCTTTGCTAAAGTCACTATATCTTGCTGAGCTTCAGTATCTCCAAAACTATTAGAAAGTCCACCTATGCAGGTATTAGGGAAAAACTTAACTAGTATTTATGAGGTGCTTCAAGTGATCTAGAAATGCAAGTTATTAATATGAGTCCTTACTATGGGTAACTAAACCACAGTCTGCAATATGGACTGGAAACCTAAAGAAGCCACAGTGTACTGCTGACAGAAAAGTCTTACCCTGCTACCTCTACTACCAGTCACACTTTGGGATCATCCTGCTCCCCCTTCAAAAGCTCCCAAGATCTGGAAAAACAACGATTTCCAGCACAGAGAATTTTGATGGCAGTAAAACAGCTTACAACGGACTGTTACATTGGAAATTATTTTTCAACCAGAGGTACTGAGATACAAAAAGCATACTGAAAGAAAAAGAAAAAAAGCTGTGGCAGCCCACATAGTATATGAAAAAAGCATCAACCGTGCAGGATTGTTCTCTTTTAATGACTACAAACAGAATTCAAGAACAAAGAGCATTCTAACAGCTGTTTGCTTTGCTTTCTTGGCACTTATGTATTTCAAGCTTAAAAAAAAAAAAAAAAGAAAAAAGAGTAAACATGACAAACGAAAGTTATGAAAAAGTTATGAGCCAATTTTATTACAGGACTGCCTTGAATGCACATCCCTTGCTTATCAAATCTCTCAACACTCTCACTGCAATAAATGCATTAAGAGGTTAGTGAA